GATGACTCATTGCTGCCTAAACTAAAGGGCAGCAGGTTCTTAGTGAAAACAGTCCAGGGTGAGTTGATGACTAATTCTAAATGCCACATAGAATATGTCCTTTTATTTTTAGGGGCTCCAGGAAACAAAGACATCCAGGTATAAGCAGAGTACAAACATCAGTGGGCTTTGCCAGACAGCATAACTTAAGCATTTTATTTTGAGTAGAAAGAACTCGGTCTTTGTGTCCTACAAATGTCACACTGTTTGCTTTCATACCATGTTCTTTCGTCTGCGGTTATTACTTCCTTCTCAAGTACACAGATAGAAACTTCTGCTTGTATGGAAAGCAGAAACTCCTATTTCCTTTCCCTACCACTTTCCATAGTAAAACAATAATTTTTTTTTAATCTCAAGTTTCCTTTCCTCTTTCGACAGCTATTTTAGTATTTCCAGGATTTGAACACATGCACACACACATCACAATCACCATCTCTTGAAAAAAAGTTTTAGGAGCTCATAATTTCTCTATTCTGAATTTTTTCCCTCAAATCCTGTAATAAAGTTATCCTTAAGATATAAGCGAGAACTGTTGGTGGGAATGTAAATTGATACAGCCACTATGGAGAACAGTATGGAGGTTCCTTAGAAAACTAAAAATAGAACTACCATATGACCCAGCAATCCCACTACTGGGCATATACCCTGAGAAAACCATAATTCAAAAAGAGTCATGTACCACAATGTTCATTGCAGCTCTATTTACAATAGCCAGGACATGGAAGCAACCTAAGTGTCCATCAACAGATGAATGAATAAAGAGGATGTGGCACATATATACAATGGAATATTACTCAGCCATAAAAAAAACGAAATTGTGTTATTTGTAGTGAGGTGGATGCACCTAGAGTCTGTCATACAGAGTGAAGTAAGTTAGAAAGAGAAAAACAAATACCCTATGCTAACACACATATATGGAATCTAAAAAAAAAATGGTTCTGAAGAACTTAAGGGCAGGACAGGAATAAAGACGCAGATGTAGAGAATGGACTTAAGGACATGGGGAGGGGGAAGGGTAAGCTGGGATGAAGTGAGAGAGTCGCAAGGACATATACACACTACCAAATGTAAAATAGATAGGTAGTGGGAAGCAGCCGCATAGCACAGGGATATCAGCTCAGTGCTTTGTGACCACCTAGAGGAGTGGGATAGGGAGGGTGGGAGGGAGACGCAAGAGGGTGGAAATATGGGGATATATGTATATGTATAGCTGATTCACTTTGTTATAAAGCAGAAACTAACACACCATTGTAAAGCAATTATACTCCAATAAAGATGTTAAATAAATAAATAAATAAAAATAAAGCAAGGATCCCCCTTACATGCTAACTCTCCAAACTCCACTTATGACCAATCTGCCCTCAATTACATCTCTATCCTTTCATCACCTTCCTATGTCTTCCCTGGCCTGGATTCTGTCTAAATTAAGGCAACAGGCCATGAGATGTTGAGTGTGTCCATCAGCATTTTATTGTTGTTAGGAAACTGAACTGTATCTACCTTTCCCGCATTGGCTTAAAAACAAGATGCATTTGTATTGAACCAACACTTTCCAGGTATGATTTTTTTCTGGAACATATTTTCATTAAACTACACATTTTCGTGTTTTTTAAAAAAAGATGTAAGCAAGATAAGCTGTTTACAATTAGTTAAACACATAGATGCTGTGAAACCTCTAATGACCACAGCATTAAGAATTGCGTCCCATGGGTAGATATTGTAGCTATTGAAACAAAACTAAAATGACAGAAACCACTAAACTTGTGGTGCAGGCTAACCTATTCCATCCTATTAAAACAATGATGATTGGGACTTGTGGTTGCCAAGGGGGAGGGAGAGTGGGGGAGGGATGGAGTGGGAAATTGGGGTGGGCAGATGCAAACTCTGTATGTAGAATGCATAAACAACAAGGTCCTACTGTATAGCACAGGGGACTATATTCAATATCCTGTGATAAACCATAATGGAAAAGAATATGAAAAAGAATGTGCACATATGTGTAACTGAATCACTTTGCTGTACAGCAGAATTTTTTTTTTAACATCTTTATTGGAGTATAATTGCTTTACAATGGTGTGTTAGTTTCTGCTTTATAACAAAGTGAATCAGTTATACATATACATATGTTCCCATATCTCTTCCCTCTTGCATCTCCCTCCCTCCCACCCTCCCTATCCCACCCCTCCAGGCAGTCACAAAGCACTGAGCTGATCTCCCTGTGCTATGCGGCTGCTTCCAACTAGCTATCTACCTTACGTTTGGTAGTGTATATATGTCCATGCCTCTCTCTCGCTGTACAGCAGAAATTAACACAACATTGTAAATCAACTATACTTCAATAAAACAAACAAAAGAGTATACTTTTGGAAAATAAGCCATTTTCCATTTTTTACAGAACTAGAACAAAATATCTTAAAATTTGTATGGAGACACAAAAGGCCCGAAATAGCCAAAGCAATCTTGAGAGAAAAAAACAGAGCTGGAGGAATCAGATGCCCAGACTTCAGACTATACTACAAAGCTACAGTGGGCTTCCCTGGTAGCGCAGTGGTTGAGAGGTCCGCCTGCCGATGCAGGGGACACGGGTTCGTGCCCCGGTCCGGGAAGATCCCACATGCCGTGGAGCGGCTAGGCCCGTGAGCCATGGCCGCTGAGCCTGCGCGCGGAGCCTGTGCTCCGCAACGGGAGAGGCCACAACAGTGAGAGGCCCGTGTACCGCAAAAAAATATATATATATATAGATACAGTAATCAAGACAGTATGGTACTGGCACAAAAACAGAAATATAGATCAATGGAACAGGATAGAAAGTCCAGAGATAAACCCATGAACCTATGGTCAACTAATCTATGACAAAAGAGGCAAGGATATACAATGGAGAAAAGACAGTCTCTTCCATTAGTGGTGCTGGGAAAACTGGACAGCCACATGTAAAAGAATGAAATTAGAACACACCCTAACACCATACACAAAAATAAACTCAAAATGGATTAAAGACCTAAATGTAAGGCCAGACACTATAAAACTCTAGAGGAAAACATAAGAACACTCTCTGATGTAAATCACAGCAAGATCCTTTTTGACCCACCTCCTAGAGAAATGGGAATAAACAAAAATAAACAAATGGAACCTAATGAAACTTAAAAGCTCTTGAACAGCAAAGGAAACTATAAGTAAGACAAAAAGACAACACTCAGAATGGAAGAAAATATTTGCAAACAAATCAACAAAGGATTAATCTCCAAAATATATAAACCACTCATGTAGCTCAATATCAAAAAAACAAACAACCCAATTCAAAAATGGGGAGAAGATCTAAGTAGACATTTCTCCAAAGAAGACATACAGATGGCCAAGAGGCACATGAAAAGCTGCTTAACATCACTAATTATTAGAGAAATGCAAATCAGAAAACTACAATGAGGTATCACCTCACACCGATTAGAATGGGCATCATCAGAAAATCTACAAATAAATGCTGGAGAGGGTGTGGAGAAAAGGGAATCCTCTTGCACTGTTGGTGGGAATGTAAATTGATACAGCCACTATGGAGAACAGTATAAAAATAGAATTACCATATGACCAGCAATCCCACTACTGGGCATATACCCAGAGAAAACCATAATTCAAAAAGACACATGCACCTCAATGTTCATTGCAGCACTATTTACACCAGCCAGGTCACAGAAGCAACCTAAAAGCCCAAGACAGATGAATGGATAAAGAAGATGTGGTACATATATACAATGGAATATTACTCAGACATAAAAAGGAACAAAATTGGGTCATTTGCAGAGATGTGGATGGACCTAGAGACTGTCATACAGATTGAAGTAAGTCAGAAAGAGAAAAACAAATATCATATATTAACACATATATGTGGAACCTAGAAAAATGGTACAGATGAACCAGTTTGCAAGGCAGAAATAGAGACACAGATGTAGAGAACAAACATATGGATACCAAGCTGGGAAAGCAGGATCGGGGTGGTTAAAAAAAAGGAAAAGGAAAATAAACCATTTTCCATATGTTGAGAACATTCTGAAAAAACACTCTAAATTAGTCCAATCAATCATGCTGAAATAAAGCTGTTAGAAAATGTTGAGAAAAAACAAAACAAAACGATGCTGACTGGGATTCACTCAATTGATTTCACAACCCATAATCAGTGATGGCTCACCCTTTGTAAAGCAAGTACCAAATGTGGCACCCCTGGCATCACAGGAAAGTGGTTTTCAACCTGGGCTGAACGACCTCTGGAACTTTTCAAAAGTACAAATTGTCAGGGTCTCACATAGGACCAAGTAAATTAGAACACTCAGGGAGTAGTGAGGAAAGTTTCTGAAGCTTTTCGCTTGACAGGTTTAGGAGGCAGCTGGTTAGGGAGAGTGACAAGAACGGGTTCATTTGTTACTGAGAAGTGAGATAAGTGAAGTGAGGGGTGAATCCAGGTTTTGTGGAGACTGAAGCTTGTACAAGTTTAGAATACTTTTTAAGAAAAATAATATAAAATTAGGTAAGAAAATAACTTTTCTTGTAGAATGAGAAAATTAAGCACAACAAATAACACATTTTTAAAAGCCGGCAAATCTCACAAATATGGAAAAACTCAAAAATATTTTTATTAACTGCCTTGTGTGGCTCTTAATACTTTCTATTTTATGTTTATTACATTCATACTCTTTGATGTATGTTTAGAGAGAATAGAATGACTAGTTGGTCTTTGCTTTAGCATAGTCGATTGACATTTATTTTTTATTGATGATTGTTGAGAAAAGTTTCTTCCAGCTTCACAACTTATTATTGGAAATGTCACATGAAAATTTCAGATTGCAGAAAATTTCAGATAGTTTTCCAGGGTTGCCATAACAAAACATCACAGACAGCGTGGTTTTAAACAACAGAATTTATTTTCTCACAGTTCTGGAGGCTGGAAGTCCAAGATCAAGGTGTTCTCCTGAGGCCTCTCTCCTTGGCTTACAGATGGCTGCCTTCTTGCTGTGTCCTCACAAGGTGACTTCTTGGTCTTTGTTGTCTGTGTTCTAATCTCCTCTTTTTATTAGGACACTAGTCAGATTGGGTTAAGCCTCACCCCAATGACCCCATTTTAACTTAATTATCTATTTAAAGGCCCTATCTCCAAATACAGTCATATTTTGCAGTACTGGAGGTTAGGATTTCAACATATGAATTATACAAATTTTGATGGGACACAATTCAACCTATAACATTGTCAAATCTGGAAAAACAGCTCTCATATTTCTTCCATTTATGAACATAAAGATTTCAGTTCATCAAAAATTTCCCTGTGCAGTTGTTGATTGTAAATACTCTGAATTAGTGACACTTTGATTAGTTTCGTGTCTATGTCCTCATATATTGATCTCTTGCTATATCTTTGTAGATGTCAAATAAGCAAAAAGAAAATCTAAACCATTTTCCAATAATTCACCTTTCCTTGTTATTTAGATTTTCAAACAATCTAAACACCTACTTGTTGCTTCTGTTTGAAATTTATCACTTTCTCTTAATAAACTATAGCTTTTAGTATGATTGGAAAAAGATTTTACGGTTCCCTTTTCAACATTAGATTAATTTCAATTTATCTCATCCTCATCTTTACTGCTTTTGTAAAGCAGAAAACTTTTAACCTTTTTAGTTATTTATTTTAAATTTAGTCACTTTAACTTTTCTTAGTTATTTATTAGATACATTTAAGTTATAAAAGAAGCTGTGCTTTATGCCAAAACCATATCAGTAGTTTGTAGTTCCTCACTTAAAATGAAAAACTATTAAACATCTTGCCAAATTGCAGTTGAACTTTGGTATACCATTTCCATAAAAATAATAATAATGCACGATGTTTTCATAATTGTGTATACTGCATCATTGAGTATATAATCTTGACAGGAGAGAACTTCTGCTTTGACAAGCTGTAGATGAGAACTGAATCCTCCACTGCCATTTTGCATGTCTGGTGTTGGAAGCATTTTTGCAGACTAACTTCTGTCTCCATGGATTTCAAACCTTGTTTCTCATTGACAGCGCACATGCTTCTGGGGCTGATTGCAACATGAGAGGTTCATTTCTTGAACTGGCTGTATCCTTGCAACTTCACGACGCTAGGTGAGTTGGCACAGTGCGTGGTAGTGGTATTCCAGGAAGCTGTCTCTACACTGAGAGAGCTAGCAGTAACTTCACTATACATGGAAATGACTGTGAGTCATGTAAATATATCCCACTCAACTCAAACTGAAGATCTCCCCATTTCACCTTTCACTTTAAATGGACTCCAGAAGTGCCTGTGGCCACACCAGTGAACCTAAGAGGAAGTCAGAGAGGAAAGAGACAGAGGTCTTCACTAATTGTGGTTAAAATATCTTACTTTTGTAGATTTCAAAATCATATGACGTGTGAATATATTTCTGGGGCCCCTTCCCGGGTTCTGGGGGGGGGTGTACAAGTGAGGGCACTGAACCTTCAGCATCACTGTATTCATGGAAAACTGACCCTGGTTGAAGTATCCAAGAGTTCTACTGTCCCTATACCATAAATGTCACTTAAGATTTCCACCCAGTAGAGTGGTTCCCCAGTGCTTGTCTTCAAGTCAGAGTTGGTTCATGACAAAGGTGTCAATAATATAAAATGAAATGAAAACGATAAAGACAATGTGATATATGCATACCATATATCGCTGTCAACTATTCCGTCTTGAGAAAGATGATCACTTTAAAATGTAATCTTTCCTATTAATTTGGTGTTAAAATATCCTTCCTTATTTGAAATTGGTGACAATAGAGAGTAAAGTTTAACTTATATATCTCAAGTAGCTGAATGAAGTGACCTACTGACTAGACTCTCTTAGTATCATTCACTTGTACATTGGAAGATGTCTGTCAAAATCCGTTTTAGTCTTCTCATCTTGACAGTGACTTATCAAGAAGTCTGCTCCTATTTCATTAGAGTACAGAGAAGTTTGTTTTCTTATTTTTATAGGGCTAATTTTGTCATTAAAATATGTAATTCAAACTTAAAGTTTTACAAAATTATTTGTGGAGTATACTTTTTCTGCTCTTTTGTAGTGTGCCTGTTTAAAACTCTCCTTCATTAATTTGCCAGCATCAGTGCAAGCTAGGATCATTTTAGAAATGTGGTTTTATAATGTACTGATTAAGTCAAAGCTTGCACTATGATATTGTGTCCTTCTACTATTTTCATCCTCTGACATGATGTTAGATACTGATGAAATGCAGCCCTGCTAAAAACAGCATCAACATTCCTGAATAATGAATCAATCGTTTCCTGATTGGCAACTTGGGCATGTTTATGACATTAATTATCACATATTTTCAAACTTTGAAGATGACTTTGGTATAGCTTCCCGCCCACTCAAACACAGCAGGCATCGATTTACAGACAATACAGACATAATTATAACCCTGACAAACCAGAGAGGATGGTAAATTTCCATTATAACTGAGCACTTTGGCAGTACTCCAAGTGAAGACCCTGACCTACCAAATCTAACCAGTTATTTCTTGTGGGGGCAGATTCTTGCCCCACTCTGTCTCTTCCACAGAAAACACATCCTTTGACATCAGTGAGAGGGTACTCTGCAGAAAAGAGGTTCAAGAATTAGCTTAGCTTGTGTGAAACAATACTTGCCTTGAGTAAACGCATCACTGAGAAATTTATTTATGTTTTCTTTTTTTTTAAACATCTTTATTGGAGTATAATTGCTTTACAATGCTGTGTTAGTTTCTGCTTTATAAAAAAGTCAATCAGTTATACATATACATATGTCCCCATGTCTCTTCCCTCTTGTGTCTCACTCCCACCCTCCCTATCCCACCCCCCTAGGTGGTCACAAAGCACCGAGCTAATCTCCATGTGCTAAGTGGCTGCTTCCCACTACCTATCTATTTTACGTTTGGTAGTATATATAAATCCATGCCACTCTCTCACTTCGTCCCAGCTTACCCTTCCCCCTCCCCGTGTCCTCAGGTCCATTCTCTACATCTATGTCTTTGTTCCTGTACTGCCCCTAAGTTCTTCAGAACCATTTTTTTTTTTTAGATTCCATATATATGTGTTAGCATAGGGTATTTGTTTTTCTCTTTCTGACTTACTTCACTCTGTATGACAGACTCTAGGTGCATCCACCTCACTACAAATAACACAATTTCGTTTTTTTTATAGCTGAGTAATATTCCATTGTATATATGTGCCACATCTTCTTTATCCATTCATCTGTCAATGGACACTTAGCTGCAATGAACATTGTGGTACATGACTCTTTTTGAATTACAGTTTTCTCAGGGTATATGCCCAGTAGTGGGATTGCTGGGTCGTATGGTAGTTCTATTTGTAGTTTTTAAAGGAACCTCCCTACTGTTCTCCATAGTGGCTGTATCAATTTACTTTCCCACCAACAGTGCAAGAGGGTTCCCTTTTCTCCACACCCTCTCCAGCATTTATTGTTTCTAGATTTTTTGATGATGGCCATTCTGACTGGGGTGAGATGATATCTCATTGTAGTTTTTTTTTTTTTTTTTTTTTTTTGCGGTACGCGGGCCTCTCACCGCTGCGGCCTCTCCCGTTGCGGAGCACAGGCTCCGGCCGCTCCGCGGCATGTGGGATCCCCCCAGAGCGCGGCACGAACCCGTGTCCCCTGCATCGGCAGGCGGACTCCCAACCACTGCGCCACCAGGGAAGCCCCTCATTGTAGTTTTGATTTGCATTTCTCTAATTAGTGATGTTGAGCATCCTTTCACGTGTTGGCTGGCAATCTGTATATTTTCTTTGGAGAAATGTCTATTTAGGTTTTCTTCCCATTTTTGGATTGAGCTGTTTGTTTTTTTGATATTGAGCTGCATGAGCTGCTTGTATATTTTGGAGATGAATCCTTTGTCAGTTGCTTCATTTGCAAATATTTTCTCCCATTCTGAGGGTTGTCTTTTCATCTTGCTTATGGTATCCTTTGCTGTGAAAAACCTTTTAAGTTTCATTAGGTCACACTTGTTTGTTTTTGTTTTTATTTCCATTTCTCTAGGAGGTGGGTCAAAAAAGATCTTGCTGTGATTTATGTCATAGAGTGTTCTGCCTATGTTTTCCTCTAAGAGTTGTATAGTGTCTGGCCTTATATTTAGGTCTTTAATCCATTTGGAGTTTATTTTTGTGTATGGTGTTAGGGAGTGTTCTAATTTCATTCTTTTACATGCAGCTGTCCAGTTTTCCCAGCACCACTTGTTGAAGAGGCTGTCTTTTCTCCACTGTATATTCTTGCCTCCTTTATCCAAGATAAGGTGACCATATGTGCATGGATATATCTCTGGGCTTTCTATCCTGTTCCATTGATCTATATTTCTGTTTTTGTGCCAGTACCATACTGTCTTGATTACTGTAGCTTTGTAGTATAGGTTGAAGTCAGGGAGCCTGATTCCTCCAGCTCCATTTTTCTTTCTCAATATTGCTTTGACTATTCGGGGTCTTTTGTATTTCCATACAAATTGTGAAATTTTTTGTTTTAGTTCTGCGAACTATGCCACTGGTAGTTTGATAGGGATTGCATTGAATCTGTAGATTGCTTTGGGTAGTAGAGTTATTTTCACAATGTTGATTCTTCCAATCCAAGAGTATGGTATATCTCTCCATCTGATTGCATCATCTTTAATTTCTTTCATCGGTGTCTTATAGTTTTCTGCATACAGGTCTTTTGTCTCCTTAGGTAGCTTTATTGTTAGGTATTTTATTCTTTTTGTTGCAATGGTAAATGGGAGTGTTTCCTTAATTTCTCTTTCTGATCTTTCATTGTTAGTGTATAGGAATTCAAGAGTTTTCTGTGCAGTAATTTTGTGTCCTGCTACTTTACCAAATTCATTGATTAGCTCTAGTAGTTTTCTGCTGGTATCTTTAGGATTCTCTATGTATAGTATCATGTCATCTGCAAACAGTGACAGCTTTACTTTTTCTTTTCCAATTTGGATTCCTTTTATATCTTTTTCTTCTCTGATTGCTGTGGCTAAAACTTCCAAAACTATGTTGATAATAGTGGTCAGAGTGGACAACCTTGTCTTGTTCCTGATTTTAGAGGAAATGGTTTCAGTTTTTCCACATTGAGAATGATGTGGGCTGTGGGTTTGTCATATATGGCCTTTATTATGTTGAGGTAAGTTCCCTCTATGCCTACTTTCTGGAGGGTTTTTGTCATAAATCGGTGTTGAATTTTGTCAAAAGCTTTTTCTGCATCTATTGAGATGATCATATGGATTTTCTCCTTCAATTTGTTACTATGGTCAGTCACATTGATTGATTTGCATATATTGAGGAATCCTTGCATTCCTGGGATAAACCCCACAGTCTCTAAGACTGTCCTCAATTCTTTTCATTCTTTTTTCTTTATTCTGCTCTGCAGTAGTTATTTCCACTATTTTATTTTCCAGGTCACTTATCTGTTCTTTGCCTCAGTTATTCTGCTATTAATTCCTTCTAGAGAATTTTTAATTTCATTTATTGTGTTGTTCATCACTGTTTGTTTGCTCTTTAGTTCTTCTAGGTCCTTGTTAAAGGTTTCTTGTATTTTCTCCATTCTATTTCCAAGATTTTGGATCATCTTTACTATCATTATTCTGAATTCTTTTTCAGGTAGACTGCCTATTTCCTCTTCATTTGTTAGGTGTGGTGGGTTTTTATCTTGCTCCTTCATCTGCTGTGTATTTCTCTGTCTTCTCATTTTGCTTATCTTACTGTGTTTGGGGTCTCCTTTTCAAAGGCTGCCTATTTGTAGTTCCCATTGTTTTTGGTGTTTGCTCCCAGTGGCTAAGGTTGGTTCAGTGGGTTGTGTAGGCTTCCTGGTGCAGGGGACTAGTGCCTGTGTTCTGGTGGATGTGGCTGGATCTTGTATTTCTGGTGGGCAGGACCACATCCGGAGGTGTGTTTTGAGGTGTCTGTGACCTTATTATGATTTTAGGCAGCCTCTCTGCTAATGGGTGGGGTTGTGTTCCTGTCTTGCTAGTTGTTTGGCATAGGGTGTCTAGCATTGTAGCTTGCTGGTTGTTGAGTGGAGCTGGGTCTTAGCATTGAGATGGAGATCTCTGGGAGAGCTTTGCCGTTTGATATTACATGGG